GCGTATTGAGGGTTGCTGGTCTTGGGTACTGTGTACCAGTTGTACCCATTAACCGGTTAACCCGAACCGGTCCAATCCGAACCCACGTTGATTATGGTGATTACGGTAAGTTGTTTACGCCACCGATGATTAGACGAGTAGGATGATTGGATGAACACCGGTGAGTGATGGTTGATTAGATGCACTAGGTGATAGGACGCAGGGTCGCGTGTCTATAACAGTAGGGTGTAAGCTCCAACATTTCAATCACTTTCGAATCTTCATTCTACCCCTCAAGTGCCTTCGCTCCGGTCCCGCCGTCTGCGACGTCCCTCCCTCCGCTTCGTCCGAGCTTCGTGTCCAAGATCCATACCTTCCATCAGGCGTCGAGTCGTCGTCTTCATCTTGGTCCCCAGACTTTTCTTCTTCGTCGGGGTCGGCTCGGCGCGAGGAGGATACGTCCGGCGCACTTTCTTCTTCTAAGCCAGCTCGGTGGCGAACGGGGCGCGATCTTCTGGCAGTGTTGTCGTCGCCACTCGGTCGGTACTTGCGCTTCCCCGCCTGCTTGAAGCTCGTTTGGCGCGGTCCATCGTTGTCGTCCAGGTCCAGCGCGTCCAAGTCCAGCACAGCATCATCGACGTCTTCATCCGAAGTATGCGTCGAAAGTCCAAAGGTCGACTCATCGAAGTTGACATCGCGACTGATAACCACCTGCCCCGCCTCGATGTCATAAACTCGATACGCCTTGGACACTTCTTCGTAGCCGAGGAACAGCCCGGCGCGAGCCTTGGGGTCCCACTTGCGCCGTCTTTCCTTCGGCGTCAGGATGTACGTCTGGCATCCGAACACACGCATGTGCTTCACACTCGGCTTGGACTTGTAAACGATCTCGAACGGAGTCTTGTGTTCGATCTTGGGTGATGGCAGACGATTCTTCACGTAGATGGCTGTCATGGCCGCCTCAGCCCAGAAGCTCTTGTCCAGCTTGGCGTGATGCAGCATGCTGCGGCCAATCGTGACGATGGTCCGGATGGCGCGTTCTGCCGTGCCGTTGGTCTGGTGCGCGTACGGAACCGTGGTTTGCTGCTCGATGCCTTCGACTTCGTAGAAGGCCTTGAGCGAGTTGGTCGCGAACTCACGGGCTCCGTCGTGACCTTCTTGCCGAACTGTGTCTGCACCTTCGTGACGTACATCTTGATGCAGTCCTCGCTCTCCGACTTGGCACGCAGGCAGAACCCCTTCATGCATCCGCTGGCTTCGTCCACGATCAGCAGCAGATACTTGCTGCCACCCAGTGACTCTTCTTCCATGGGGCCGCACACGTCGAAGTGGAGCAGCTCGAACGTGTCGTAGTGACGCTTGTCACGGTTGCTTGGGAACGGCTCCTGGACCATTTTCCCTTGCTGGCAGCCGCGACACACGCTTGGTCCACTCGGCTTGGAAGGTGCCTTCGCGTCCTTGATCATGTTGTTGTCGACCATCTTGCGAAGCACCTCCACCGGAGCGTGACCCATACGCGCGTGTAAGTCGACCGTCTTCCCACTGGTCGCCGCATTCGCCGATCGCTGAGGCGTCTGGAGCCAGTAGAGTCCATCCACGAGGTTTGCCGTCGCCACCACTTGCTTGGAGCCCTTGTGCGCAATCTGCATCTTGGTGCTGTCGAACACGACTTGGAACAGACCACTCTTGTTGATCTGTGGCACCGAAAGCAGATTCTTGCTCATGCTTGGGACGTACAGCGCGTTCTTGATCTCGATGTCGCGCTCGTCGCCGTTGGGCAGAACCACTCGTTCCACGATGGTCCCCACACCCATGATGGCCGCCTTGTTGCCGTCGGCCACCGAAAGTTCGCCTTCATTCCGCTCAATCAAATGAGCGAACTTGGCCTTGTCGTTGCAGATGTGGTGCGTTGCGCCGCTGTCGACCGCCCACAACCCGGACACATTCTTGCCCGTCGAAATGCCACACTCCAGTGAGACCGCGAACGCCACTCGATCATAGCCGTAGTCGTAGTTGTAGCTGGCGTCGTCGTTCCTCCACTGGGCATTGTTGGCCCCGCGTCCACGGCCATTGCCATTGCCGCCGTGTCTTGGGCCCCGATTCTCGTCCTTCTGCTTGGTCCAGCACTTGTCAATCGTGTGCCCCAATTTCCCGCAGTACGTACACTGGCGAGACTCTCGGTCGGTGTTGAACGCCTTGGCCGCATTCTCCGTCTTCACCGTCGCCGTCTTCTCGCCTTGTCTCTTGATGTGCTCATTCGTCAGCACCTTCACGACGTCTTGCGATCGTAGTTCAGCGCTGCTCATCTCCAAGTTCAGCACGACGTTCTCGTAGCTCTTGGGGAGGCTGCGCAACAGGCAGATCGCCACGTCCTCATCCTCCATCTTGGCGCCGATGCTGCTGAGCTTGGCGCTGATGTTGAGGACCTCGTTGCAATGATGCAAGACGTTGCCGCCTTCCGACATCTCCATGCTGAAGAGTTGGCGCTTCAGGTAGATGCGTCCAGCCTTCTGCGAACCACCGTACAGCGTCTTCAGGCGCGTCCACGCAACCCACGCTTCCTCGCAGTCGTCGACCACATGGTGGTAGTCCGCGTCCATGTGGAGCAACATCAGTCCGAACGCGATGTTGCTCGACTTGACGTAGTCGTCCTTGGCCCGCGAGTCCGTGAAGCTCGGCGTCGTCTCGCGGTTCACGACATGCCACGTCGACTTGGTCAGGAACACGCCACGCATGTAGCGGTTCCACGTCGCGTAGTTGTCCCCGTTGAACTTGTCAATGGAGACCTTGGTCGAGGCGTCTTGGGCAGAGGACATGGTGCTTGGGCTCATAACCTGATGGAAGGTATGGATCTTGGACACGAAGCTCGGACGAAGCGGAGGGAGGGACGTCGCAGACGGCGGGACCGGAGCGAAGGCACTTGAGGGGTAGAATGAAGATTCGAAAGTGATTGAATTGTTGGAGCTTACACCCTACTGTTATAGACACGCGACCCTGCGTCCTATCACCTAGTGCATCAAATCAACCATCACTCACCGGTGTTCATCCAATCATCCTACTCGTCTAATCATCGGTGGCGTAAACAACTTACCGTAATCACCATAATCAACGTGGGTTCGGATTGGACCGGTTCGGGTTAACCGGTTAATGGGTACAACTGGTACACAGTACCCAAGACCAGCAACCCTCAATAACGCCTCCAGTGTTTTGGCGTGCCAGTGCCAACGCTGTGGAAGCAGCAGCCGATCTATCGGAGCCGACGACGTTCCAAGAGGCTGTGAACGGTCCTGATCAAGTGCACTGGCGCAAAGCGATCCGCGCGGAGCTCAAGTCGATGCGACTGCGTGGTGTGTTTCGAGCTGCCAAGTTGCCTAACGGACAACGCGCCATCGATACCAAGTGGGTGTTCAAGATCAAGCGCAAAGCGGACGGCTCGATCGAGAAGTACAAGGCGCGCCTCGTGGCCAAGGGCTTCAAGCAGAAGTACGGCATTGACTACACCGAGACGTTCTCGCCCGTGGTCAAGTATGTGACGCTGCGCATGGTGATCGCGATTGCTAAGTATTTTGGCTGGCCCCTCGACCAACTCGACGTGGTGACAGCATTCCTGTACGGGATAATGAAGGAGGTGGTCTTCTGCGTGGTTCCGGAAGGCGTCGAACTGGATGGTGACTTCGACTGCCTGGAACTGGTGAAGGCCATCTACGGTCTCAAGCAAGCTTCGCGAGTGTGGAACGAGACCTTCGACGAGTTCGTGTGCTCCATCGGCTTCCAAGTGTCGGCCTTCGATCCGTGCCTCTACATCAAGGTGGTGGACGGTCACTGCGTGCTTGTACTGGTGTACGTGGATGACGTACTGATTACCGGGAGTTCGCCCGAGCTGATCGCACGCACGAAGACCGACCTGAAGACGCGCTTCGAGATGACCGACAGCGGCAAGTGCGCGTTTGTTCTTGGGATCGAGTTGGTGGACGGCCCGGACGGCAGCGTGACCATGTGCCAGCGGCGATACGTGGACGACATCCTGAAGCGCTTCGCCATGGACGAGTGCAAGGCCGTGGTGAGTCCGGTGGACATGAGCACTCGACTGGTTCCAAGCGACGCGGCGACCAAGGTGAACGCTCCGTTTCGCGAAGCTGTTGGTGCTCTGATGCACCTAATGACCGCCACGCGCCCAGACATCGCGTACGCCGTTGGCTATGTATCGCGCTTCATGGAGAACCCCCAAGAGGAACACTGGGTTGCGGTCAAGCGTATCTTTCGCTACCTGCAAGGCACCAAGACGCATGGGATCTGCTTCAAGCCGGGCGACAAGATCGACGTTCGTGGCTACTCGGACGCGGACTGGGCCGGCGACCTCGCCGACCGCAAGTCCACTTCAGGCTACACGTTCATGCTCATGAGTGCGCCTGTGAGCTGGGGAAGCAAGAAGCAATGAAGCGGAGTACATCGCGCTCAGTCTGGCTATCCAAGAAGGCAAGTGGATTCATCGCCTGCTATGCGAGATTCTGGCGGCCGCTAATGAGACTGGACCCGAACTCATGATCCGCGAAGACAACCAGTCGTGCATCAAGATGACGAAGAACCCAGTGAACCACGGTCGCGCCAAGCACATCGACATCAAGTACCACCACATCCGCGATGAAGTCAAGCGCGGCGAAGTCAAGCTCCAGTACTGCGAGACTTCTGTGATGCTAGCGGACATCATGACGAAGGCGCTTGCGGGACCACGCCACACGGATCTGACGGTGGCTCTCGGCATTCGTGGGACTTCGCATTGAGGGGGCGTATTGAGGGTTGCTACTGTGTACCAGTTGTACCCATTAACCGGTTAACCCGAACCGGTCCAATCCGAACCCACGTTGATTATGGTGATTACGGTAAGTTGTTTAGGCCACCGATGATTAGACGAGTAGGATGATTGGATGAACACCGGTGAGTGATGGTTGATTAGATGCACTAGGTGATAGGACGCAGGGTCGCGTGTCTATAACAGTAGGGTGTAAGCTCCAACAATTCAATCACTTTCGAATCTTCATTCTACCCCTCAAGTGCCTTCGCTCCGGTCTCGCCGTCTGCGACGTCCCTCCCTCCGCTTCGTCCGAGCTTCGTGTCCAAGATCCATACCTTCCATCAACCGTACTGGGTGCGAACGTAGTCAGGATCCCCTTGTGACGCCAAGACGTGACGCCCGGACCCGGCTTCTCGATCACCTTCAATTCTTCTGGTTTGAGCTCGTTCATGTCCTTGCGGGCCAGGGGCGATTTCTTGCGGTCATCGCTCGGTCGGGCCTTCCTCCGTTTCTTGACCGAGGGTGCACTGGACACCGAATCCGACTGTGACGACATCGAACTGGTACGACGCTTGGACCTGCGAAGAGGCGACACCGGATCTTGAGTGCTTGACGAGTCCTGTACAGTACTGGCAGCGCACGCAGCTCATCCTCTCTGGCCTTGGCCCGAGCGATCTTGGCTTTCTCTTCCGCACTGGGTTCCCACGTGGCGTCACGACTCTCGCTGTCGCCCTCGTCGTCATCCGGTCCGAGAAGCAAGTCGCTGTCATCCTGAGTGTAGTCGATCAGGTTTGGCCAGTATTCCGGTGTCTCGCAGTCGTCTGCCCACCGTTCCAGTATCGCCTCCGCGCGCAAGTAGTAAATCTCCGGGACGTACGGCGTCCAGTACGTGGAGTCCAAGCGATTCCAGAACATCATGCGCGCTAGCATACAGGACAACTCGAACGGGAAGAACATGTCGTGGGCCACCGTGTCCTTATCCAGCAGTTTCATGGCAGCGTGATACGTTAATCCGGTGCGCATGACCAGCTGGACGTCGGTACGGACTTTACGCCGCACAATCGGGAGGTTGGCCAAGGAGGCGCACGCAGTCTTCTCGTCGATCAGGTACTCCTTGCCGACCGGGCGAGCAGCGTCGCCTGACGCACCCCATGCAATAGGGCGCCACTGCACTTGGTCCGGCACCTCACGTTGACGCTTGGCCGTACCGGATGACGGTCGTGCAGAAGCCTGCTCTTTCGGTCTGGAGTCGCCGGTGAGATCCAGAATGGAGACGCGCCGGCCGCTTGGTTTGGTGCTCCCGCTCGATCCAGAGTTGCCATTCGGTCCGGAGTCGCCACCGTTATCTTTCTCTTCGGTGTCGTCTCCGTGGCGAAAGTTGAACGGACCAGGCTCGGCGAGCATATCATCTGCCGAAGTGACGTTGATCAGTGTCTGCCATTCAGGTGGCGGAGTCGTACCGAGCTTGTGATGCTTGAACAGCTCCTCCAGGCGATGCCAGTTTCCGGTCACCTTGGTCTGGTTGCGGTTCAGGAAGTTCATCATTCGGTCCACGTCGAAGGCGTGAGACGAGAGAGACTCGACACACTTGTTGACGTACCGAGCTTAGCCTCTAGTGCTGCAATCTGGTCCCGCAGAGACTGCTTTTCGCTTTCGTGCTCTGCCATCAACTTCTTGAAGTCCGCCCGGTAACGCTCGGTGGTCCTCTCCTTTTCCTCCTTGAGGTGGTCCGTGATGACCTGCCACTGCCCGACCAACTGACCCAACGCGACCTGAAGCTGTGTGTTCTCCTTCTGAGTGGCGAACAGCATGTCAGCCGTACCGGATCCCTGCGTCTCCACTTGGTGCCGCATGAACCGATACTTGACGATCATACGCCGCATGATGGTGGTCATACCGAATACTCGCGTAGCCAAGTCACGACACTCGTAGACGGACCATCTCGCGACGCGCAGAAAGAGAATTGAGCAGGGTCTCCAATTCGGTCGGGTTGGGCGAATCGTCGAGAGGCCGAAGAAAGAACTCGTTGACGTCCTCGCGCTCGCCGACCAGCTCATTCAGTTCGGCCAAGTCTGTAGCAGTGAGCCCCTCGATCGACGTCAGCACTTCCAGTCCGCCATACCCTTCGCGGACAAAGCGGTTGCTGCCGATGTGATCTAGACGCGTAGGGACGCTGACCATGCAGAATGCGCCGTCTGGCTTGTACTCAGGAGGAGGGTCCCACACGGCTGAAGACCCGTTGTCAGCTGGCGCACCGAAGTTGGCCGCTGCCGGGAGACCGGCACCCGCGGGCATGGCGAGAGCCTCTTGCGTGGACAGGATGCGCCCGGAAATACTGCGCTCCTTGCGGAGCACGCGCTGGGTGAAGTTGTCGCCCTCTTGAGTGAATGGAGACTGCCGACCACTTGCATTGTCTTCGTTCTCGATATCTGCACCCTTGTTGGAATCGATGGCGCGCTTGAGCGTCGTAGCGCCGCTGCTCATCTTCTCGGTGGAGTTACCGCCTTGAATGGCGCCGTCGCTGGACGCGCGCTTGTTGCCGCAGCCGCCGGCGCTTCCATTCGGCCATGGCGCTGATGAGTTGCTCGATGGAGAATGGATTCTGTTTTGAGGCAGACAGCTTATGCCAGTTGGATTGTGATGCGCGGAGACCCGCCACGGAGACGGGACGTTGGATGACATGCGTTCTCGGAAAGACTCTCTCAACTGTTTTGCGATTCGGTACGACCCTCCGTTCGGAGTGGGAGCCATCGTGGGTCTGGTCATGTCCTGTCCCCTCGGTGGCAAGATCCTCTGTGAAAGAACCTGAGCAGAGGGGCAGTTGACACGATGTGGAAACAGATTTTTGTCTGCACCCATGTCCGACCCCATGGATACGTGGACCCTTCGGTGAGCTGTGATTGGTCGCATGAGATGGAGATCCGGTAGAGACGAGTGTGACGTGTGGATTGTGGATGTGTGTGGAGACTTGGTGGGACCCGGCACTTGCAGCAAGCATGGACTCACAGGATTGGAGATGCGCCCACCGGATGAGCGCTCATATTCGGTGGGGAGTCACGCATCCTGTCCGTCCGCCGACTTCCCTAACGGCAGGATAGGCCCAAGACGCGAAAGTGTGGCCAGCGAACGTATCCTGGCCACTGCCTGCATTGGCTCAGTCAAGTTGTCGGACCACCCCACTGAATCGCCCCACCAGACATGATCACACGCGCACAGACCCTGTTAGATGAAGCCTCGTGTTGTCCGGACCGGATCGTGGTGCACCCTGATGGAAGGTATGGATCTTGGACACGAAGCTCGGACGAAGCGGAGGGAGGGACGTCGCAGACGGCGAGACCGGAGCGAAGGCACTTGAGGGGTAGAATGAAGATTCGAAAGTGATTGAATTGTTGGAGCTTACACCCTACTGTTATAGACACGCGACCCTGCGTCCTATCACCTAGTGCATCTAATCAACCATCACTCACCGGTGTTCATCCAATCATCCTACTCGTCTAATCATCGGTGGCGTAAACAACTTACCGTAATCACCATAATCAACGTGGGTTCGGATTGGACCGGTTCGGGTTAACCGGTTAATGGGTACAACTGGTACACAGTACCCAAGACCAGCAACCCTCAATACAACTGGTACACAGTACCCAAGACCAGCAACCCTCAATACGCCCCCTCAATGCGAAGTCCCACGAATGCCGAGAGCCACCGTCAGATCCGTGTGGCGTGGTCCCGCAAGCGCCTTCGTCATGATGTCCGCTAGCATCACAGAAGTCTCGCAGTGCTGGAGCTTGACTTCGCCGCGCTTGACTTCATCGCGGATGTGGTGGTACTTGATGTCGATGTGCTTGGCGCGACCGTGGTTCACTGGGTTCTTCGTCATCTTGATGCACGACTGGTTGTCTTCGCGGATCATGAGTTCGGGTCCAGTCTCATTAGCGGCCGCCAGAATCTCGCATAGCAGGTGATGAATCCACTTGCCTTCTTGGATAGCCAGACTGAGCGCGATGTACTCCGCTTCATTGCTTCTTGCTTCCCCAGCTCACAGGCGCACTCATGAGCATGAACGTGTAGCCTGAAGTGGACTTGCGGTCGGCGAGGTCGCCGGCCCAGTCCGCGTCCGAGTAGCAACGAAAGTCGATCTTGTCGCCCGGCTTGAAGCAGATCCCATGCGTCTTGGTGCCTTGTAGGTAGCGAAAGATACGCTTGACCGCAACCCAGTGTTCCTCTTGGGGGTTCTCCATGAAGCGCGATACATAGCCAACGGCGTACGCGATGTCTGGGCGCGTGGCGGTCATTAGGTGCATCAGAGCACCAACAGCTTCGCGAAACGGAGCGTTCACCTTGGTCGCCGCGTCGCTTGAAACCAGTCGAGTGCTCATGTCCACCGGACTCACCACGGCCTTGCACTCGTCCATGGCGAAGCGCTTCAGGATGTCGTCCACGTATCGCCGCTGGCACATGGTCACGCTGCCGTCCGGGCCGTCCACCAACTCGATCCCAAGAACAAACGCGCACTTGCCGCTGTCGGTCATCTCGAAGCGCGTCTTCAGGTCGGTCTTCGTGCGTGCGATCAGCTCGGGCGAACTCCCGGTAATCAGTACGTCATCCACGTACACCAGTACAAGCACGCAGTGACCGTCCACCACCTTGATGTAGAGGCACGGATCGAAGGCCGACACTTGGAAGCCGATGGAGCACACGAACTCGTCGAAGGTCTCGTTCCACACTCGCGAAGCTTGCTTGAGACCGTAGATGGCCTTCACCAGTTCCAGGCAGTCGAAGTCACCATCCAGTTCGACGCCTTCCGGAACCACGCAGAAGACCACCTCCTTCATTATCCCGTACAGGAATGCTGTCACCACGTCGAGTTGGTCGAGGGGCCAGCCAAAATACTTAGCAATCGCGATCACCATGCGCAGCGTCACATACTTGACCACGGGCGAGAACGTCTCGGTGTAGTCAATGCCGTACTTCTGCTTGAAGCCCTTGGCCACGAGGCGCGCCTTGTACTTCTCGATCGAGCCGTCCGCTTTGCGCTTGATCTTGAACACCCACTTGGTATCGATGGCGCGTTGTCCGTTAGGCAACTTGGCAGCTCGAAACACACCACGCAGTCGCATCGACTTGAGCTCCGCGCGGATCGCTTTGCGCCAGTGCACTTGATCAGGACCGTTCACAGCCTCTTGGAACGTCGTCGGCTCCGATAGATCGGCTGCTGCTTCCACAGCGTTGGCACTGGCACGCCAAAACACTGGAGGCGTCGAGTCGTCGTCTTCATCTTGGTCCCCAGACTTTTCTTCTTCGTCGGGGTCGGCTCGGCGCGAGGAGGATACGTCCGGCGCACTTTCTTCTTCTAAGCCAGCTCGGTGGCGAACGGGGCGCGATCTTCTGGCAGTGTTGTCGTCGCCACTCGGTCGGTACTTGCGCTTCCCCGCCTGCTTGAAGCTCGTTTGGCGCGGTCCATCGTTGTCGTCCAGGTCCAGCGCGTCCAAGTCCAGCACAGCATCATCGACGTCTTCATCCGAAGTATGCGTCGAAAGTCCAAAGGTCGACTCATCGAAGTTGACATCGCGACTGATAACCACCTGCCCCGCCTCGATGTCATAAACTCGATACGCGTTGGACACTTCTTCGTAGCCGAGGAACAGCCCGGCGCAAGCCTTGGGGTCCCACTTGCGCCGTCTTTCCTTCGGCGTCAGGATGTACGTCTGGCATCCGAACACACGCATGTGCTTCACACTCGGCTTGGACTTGTAAACGATCTCGAACGGAGTCTTGTGTTCGATCTTGGGTGATGGCAGACGATTCTTCATGTAGATGGCTGTCATGGCCGCCTCAGCCCAGAAGCTCTTGTCCAGCTTGGCGTGATGCAGCATGCTGCGACCAATCGTGACGATGGTCCGGATGGCGCGTTCTGCCGTGCCGTTGGTCTGGTGCGCGTACGGAACCGTGGTTTGCTGCTCGATGCCTTCGACTTCGTAGAAGGCCTTGAGCGAGTTGGTCGCGAACTCACGGGCTCCGTCGTGCCGCACAAACTTGACCTTCTTGCCGAACTGCGTCTGCACCTTCGTGACGTACATCTTGATGCAGTCCTCGCTCTCCGACTTGGCACGCAGGCAGAACCCCTTCATGCATCCGCTGGCTTCGTCCACGATCAGCAACAGATACTTGCTGCCACCCAGTGACTCTTCTTCCATGGGGCCGCACACGTCGAAGTGGAGCAGCTCGAACGTGTCGTAGTGACGCTTGTCACGGTTGCTTGGGAACGGCTTCTGGACCATTTTCCCTTGCTAGCAGCCGCGACACACGCTTGGTCCACTCGACTTGGAAGGTGCCTTCGCGTCCTTGATCATGTTGTTGTCGACCATCTTGCGAAGCACCTCCACCGGAGCGTGACCCATACGCGC